CTCTAATATTTTTTAAGATGTCCAATTAGATCATGACTCTAGCACTATGCTAAGTTTAATTCAAATTGTCAAAAAACAAATCAATAATTATTTATTAACAATATTTTACGTGACAACAATTAGCAAAACCATAATCAACTCATGTCAATTACTCACCGCCAGGTGTTTATACCTATATAAACATTACCACAAACAAACAAGTCCATAATGACGAAATTTATGACTCTGTTTATTTGCGACTTATTCTCTCGTATTCATACTTATCACCTGCTAAATATCTGAATTTGAATAATGTTTATCACAAATAGCCATCATGCAATAATATTCCTTATTTGTATACATTGCAGAAGCCGCTTTGAACCTGTTCATCAACAGTAACGCACAAGAACTTCTGAGGGAAATGAAACCTGCTCTGAGGACGAAATTGGCGGCTTTGATGGCATCATTTATGAACCGATTGTTCGAAAAGGTGCCACTGGAGCATTGGCTTGACTGATATTAATTTAGGAATTAAGTAGGTTAAGATTTAAGTTAATTATTAATTGTTATATCATTATATCATTTGTAAGTTAAGTAATTTAAATATAATTAATAAATTATAATTTTGTTTTAATTGTTATGGACATACATGTTTTATGGTGAAAGAATGCAATTATAAACCAAAAAAAATCTTGAGAGGTATCCATCCATATCTTTTTTTAATAAATATTCCAAATATTTGGTCTCCCCCAGATTGACTCTCATTCAATGGATGATACATCAAAATTAGTGTTATAAGAGTCTTTGTTAAAAAAAAATTATATTAGAATTTTTTTATTTTTTATAATATTCTGTCATGATTGGAGAAAATAACTTCTTCAAAATGCATTAATAATAAGAAGTATAAACTAAATAATTGGCATTACCTTACTTTAAGCTCGTAGTAATTGTTGATCAATAAGGGATTATATTTGTAATGGATTTCAACATTTTTACCAATAATATAATATATAACATTCAGAAGTCAAAATCTGTCTTATTCAGTGTAAAACCACCAAATCTAATTAAACCTAATATTTCTAGTACAATATAGTATGATAATGAAATATGAACTCATTTATTTAATAAACTCATTTATCACCGAATAATTTATAGTACATATATGTAAGTTCTCAAATATTACAACAATAATATATTGAGCTTTTTACCATTTTTTACGGCAAGAATTGATTTCATTGTGAAAGCATTTTTTATTCTGACATATTTTTATATAGCACAAATCTTTGCCACGATTGAGGATGACCTCTTACGATTTCCAAGTACGATTTATAGGTTTGGTTAAATTCAATTTTGCAAAGTTTACCATAAACTATTATAAAATAATAAAATCTTATATATGAAAATGAATCGCAAAATGTGTTGGTAAGCGCATAACTCAACAACGCCTGGACCAATTTGACCAATTCTTTTTTTAAAATGTTTGTTGATGTCCAAGGATGGTTATTACGGCGATAAAAAATCGAATAATTACCAAGAAAACCCTGAAAACTGCCCTTTTTTCTCATACAAACGTTTTCTAACTAAAACGTAGAATCAATTTGAGCTTTATTGCTATTATATAAAGTTCATATTAAATTCCAAGCACTCACTGTATACTGTACATTAAACGATTATTCGGATTTTGATAAATCTTTCTGGAGTTTGTTAAGAAAATTTTTCTAGGATGTATGTGATAATGAAGTACTGGGATGTATGTCCAATATTGTAGAAATGAATGAAAAAAATTGAAAAAAAAAACGACATGTTATTGTTTAAAGCAGTTCTACATTTAACACCGCTCATATTATAAATGTACATGCATTTTGGCCTGAAGAGTAATTTAAAAAAAACAATAATTATTATTTTTAGGTAAATGGTAAATATTAGTATATTGTATTAAAAAATTGTAGACATTAGTATAGGACAACGTCTGTTGTGTCATCTAGTAATAACATAATAATCCTCATTCATAACTAACAATTTCATTTATTATAAACTTTTTACAACGTACGTCCATTACACGTCCGGGATGAAAACACTCATCATTATCAAGGTGCAAATTGCCTGAATGGCCCTTGTGTTGTTATGATGAGAAAAAACTACCAGAAAATTTTTCCATTTTTTTTTATTCACAACTTGTTTACACCAAACCGAGTTATAAACAATTTCTAACAATAAATGTCTTTAAAATTTAAAACAAGAGTACTAGATGACTTAGCAGTTATTAAAAATAGCTGCGGCCGAATGCACAAACGCAATAAAATATAATATAACCTGTTTGTTGTTTTCAGATGATTTGCGGTAACAAGAAAACTATATGGATTAATTAATTACATGATTTTAATACAAAAGTCGTTATATAAAGTACATCACACGCAATTACAGAAAACCGGTTGGAGACTTCAAAAGTACAGGTGACCGGTCAAAATAACATCAACTATGGTTATTTACACCAAGAACTGCAAAAGTTGCGCAGAAAGCTATGATTTTACCTATTTATTATTTTAATTATACAATAAATTGTACGTTTATGTTTTATTTATTATCAAAGTATGATGAAATATTTTTTTATTGCAAATGAGATCACGGAAATTTTATTTATAAACATTGATGTGAAAATTGAATGAATTTGTTTTAATTATATTTAATCACAAATAATTACCTCAACGCTTAGAATAATGCTAAAAAATCATATCATGAGTAGCAATATTTATGAGATTATTTATAAACTATTTATAATATTTTTTAAATTTATTATTATGATTAAAAGTTCACAAGATATCAGTTATTTAATGTCTATTTGTAAGTATTGAGAAAAATTTGAGATAAATATGAAAAATACTTCAAGTGAAGACAAACGACATTTTCAATTATTCATCTATAATTATTCTTCTGTAATTCAGTTCATAGATTTGATAATATTTAAATATTCGGATGGTCAAAAGTTTTCTCATTAATAATTGGTGAATGGCACCGTGTTTTAATATATAAAAATTAATATAAATTGACAAACACATAAATAAAAAGATAAATATATAAAATTAGAATTATATAGGACACGCGATTAATTTACATCTTACACTAATAATGAAGAAAATCTTAAATTATTTACTTATTAAATAAGTTGTTATAATATTCAACATGTATTTGCATGCAATTTAATTCCTTTAATAGTCATTCAAGCGTGATAAATAATCATTATGTTACTGACGCAAATTTAATTTCAAGTTCTATATTCTTGTTTAATTAAACAAAATCATATGGTAAAAATAACTCATGTTATAGAAGATTTTTTAATCACTATAAAGCATAATATCAAATCAAGAGTGAAGAAAGCATATTTAATTTTTAGACTTGGCGATAATAAAATTTTTGGATATTTATCCATAGTAAACTGACCTTCTGATCGTCTGGTAAAAAGAACCCTCTCTACCGTGAAGTTAAATGTCAAAGATTCAGTTAGAAATTTTAAATTTTCAATATTAACTACAGCATACCTATCATATTTTTTCTATTATATAAAAAATGTAAATATCTTTAAGACCATATACTTAATTTTGTCGAGGTTTTCCTTTAATCTCCATATAGTTTAAAGAACATCGGCTTAGAGGACAAAATCTCCTGAACCGTCTCTACGCATTCCGCGTAGATATAACGAGAATTCTATTGGTGATACATTAATTCGAGAAAATCCATTAGATCTTAATTCAGCACTTGATATATTGCTAATTAGATTTGCATAGTGAGTGTTAGATCCACAAGGATTAGAAACCAGAATATATGGCTGGGGTCAGATGCCTCTATTAGGAGGAGACATATACCATAAATGCATATGACAAATAATTACGTGCGAGATATCGATGAGGGATAAAATTTATTTATTTATACAAATCTTTCGAGTAGTCCCTTAATTGTAAAAATAATAAATGAACTAAAATAAACAGCCCAAATCAAAGTACAAATAAAATAAAAGGTGCCGAATGAACGCAAATTTTGTAGTTATCTTTTACCATTGTTGTTGTTCAAAAAATTTACTGATTATAACTTGAGATTAACAATCATCTTTATAATAAGTATAAATTGTAAGTTATATTAAACAAAGTATTGTGCACTTTTATAAAGAAATAGATAGACCTACGCAACTTTACATTCATGCACATTTTTTGAATATTCAAAAACATTTAAGACTAAAAAAATCTTGGAAAACAATCCGAAATTTATGTTGGAATTTTATCCTGTTTGAATTTTGGACTCAAGATTGGAAAGGATTATCTCAACGAAGAATCTTGGCATAAGTAATTCTTATTTTTAAACAGCAATCTGAACATGATTTGCAATGATATTGCTCTTTTAAAATACTTTCCTAGAAGGTAACCTAACAAGGGTATGTTTATTGATATTTTATATTTTTATTATTAGAATTTATTTAATGTTGACAATATGTCTAACTTGATGCAAAACCATTTTTTATGGATATATTTTTAATACTTCTTGATGTCAAATTGATCCGGCAACGCGGGATGAAACTATAGAGAAATATTGAGAAAAATGTTGTACCTATGCCATAAAAAGGTACAAATTTGGCAAAAGTGCAAAAGTATTCATGCCACTATAAAAATTTTATGTAATCAATATTTTTCATCCAATAAGTGTCATAATTCAATTTCCACGTGTTCTGGTATCCAACACATATCAGACTGCGTGTATTTATTTACTTCCTCCTGTCGCTATAAAATTAATTACGGCACTAAATCATGTCCTGAACTTGAGACATAGAAGTACAAAGTCACAATTTTCTTAATGATTTACATAATTCGAAAAGACGAGATAATAACCAGCTGTAGAATACGATCATGTACATCATGTACTCGTACAAATCCACAAACAAGTGGTGGATGAGTCCGAGTCCAACCAAGGACAAGGTGACACATCAGCCACGCATCCTTCTCATATAAGTAAACCGCGATTCTTTCCAGCCTGTCATTGTTTATCTGGATGTCAAGTGCTCTAGAAGTGATAATTTCGACTTACATCGTAAGTGAACGTGAGTTCTAATAAATATTCTAAGTTTTATGCAAGAAATTAGATGAAAATTACTAGTGCAAACAACAGAGTTCTCTCGCGAATATTGTTTTGAAACTGCGCGAAATTAGGCGAGGTATTTGGGTAATACAGACAAACATGTATAAATGCATATTGAATATAGTTGGCCTAGATAAATCACCTTATTTTCATCAATAGTATCTTTAAAAGTTTGCTAAAATACACTTTGACTTGTTTTAGTGCTTATGTCAACTATTGGCGGTGATCCATTCATAAGTTCAACAGTTGTACTAGAAATTTCATTGAAAAAAAAGTTTAATATTTGATATAATAAATATTTATTAACTAGGGATATTTGCATCTGTTTGTGAAAAATTTTGTATTGTTGATCAGGGTATTTCGACATATTTTGAAAATGTTAAAAATTTGACAAAAAACACTTCGACCTTCCACCTACCATCATTCTTTTGTAAGTTTAAAAAATGTAGAAAAATTTTTTTTTGAATTGTTCCAAAATTTGCATTGCATTTGTTTATCAAAATTTTTGTATTGTTGACTAGGATATTTTGTCTTATTTTGAAGAAGTTAAAAATTTGACAAAAAGAACTTCTATCTTCGACCTATTGATTTCATCATTTCTTTGTAAGATTAAAAGACGTAGAATTTTTTTTTTTAAATGTTTCAAAATTTAATCAATACATATTTAATAATTATAATTTAATCGTAATTATAAATATGTAATTATTGATATTTATTTAAAGTGACTTTAATGCATTGGTATATCTATTGAAAGAGTTTGTCGTTAGAATTTAATTTATATTAATTTACTATATTGGGAGTAAATGCATTTTGTAATTTATCATATTTGTTCCTAAATAATATTTATCATAAGATATTCAAGTTATAAATTTGCTAAAATATTGTTGCTGTTTTCAACACTTTTGCCAACAATTGGCATTCGTCCATTCATAATTTCAGGTGCTATAGATGAATTTTTATTAAAAATATTTTGGACAAATATTCAATATATAAATATCAATAAATGATTATTACTATTTAATTGAAATGATTTCAGTTTTTTGTATAGGGATTGATGTATTTTGTTAATGACGGTATAACAAAAATCTGCACTCGAAATTTGAAAAAGCAATATCAAAAAATATTTGAAAAATGAGAACTATGTTGTACACTGTAATAAGTATCTTGAAATAAATTTGGTCTTAAAACTTTTAACACTATAGAAAAAAAATTATGAATTTTAATTAAAACGTTATACAATTGTAAACAACGTGTTTATTTATATCATACCTAATTTTAAATTAAATTTAATCAAATTTAAAATAATTTTTATAATTTGTAAAATATAGCAAAATTTGCTTGAATAAATATGTTTTTATCACTGTAGAAAAAAATTGTATAGTAATTGTATATATCTTCGAAGGTTTTGGCACTTTTTATATTGAATTTAAATTAATTATTTGTTATAAACATTTTTTATTATCGGCAAACCGAGATAATTTTTTTAAATTTTTGGTCACTAATTTGCCTATAAATTGGTAATTAATTAAAATAAACTTAAAAATGTATCTACTATAAAAAAAATTCCTACAGTGACACAAACCAAATTTATTTTATTTTAAAGTTAAACTAGTAAATTGTGTTATATTTTACGAATCATAAAAATTATTTTGAATTTGATTAAATTTAATTTAAAATTAGGTACGATAGAAATAAACGCGTTGTTTATAATTGTATAACGTTTTAATTAAAATTCATGCCGGCTTTTTCTCAACTTTGATTATACTATATATGATCTGAATATCAAAACAGCACATTTAAGCTAATATAAATAAATTATTATATAGTACTCTATATTAGCTCTATAATTGCAAAGTTAATTTTGAAAATATAATATTTAAACAAAAATCGTTAATGATGAACAATTCAAAGTCAACTTCAACCAGAATGTACAAAAATAAAATTTGCTTATAAAGTAAATTTGATAAAACAAAAATTATTTCACACCATATTGCGTTTTTTTAACATTAGCAAATTTATCATAATATTTAGCAAAGCCATAAAAAATGTATTCATTATTAATAAAGTCTCTGAAAAAACCAAGTGCAAAATCCATTCAACAAAATCGAATTTACACATACGAATACTACATAAATCACTCTACTCATTTATATTTTTTGTGCAAATACTAGTTTTCGGGTGCATCTATTGAATTATTAATTTTGTTCATGGTTTGTTTGTTGTTTGATATTTTCAAGCCGCGTGCGATATTTTTTAGTAAGAGAATAAAATATTGAGAGCGTAAAATATGTTTATTTATAAAAAAAAGTTGTAAATTTAATGATAAAATTATCATTAATTGATTAAAATTAAATGGTAAAAGACCATGTAGAAGACAACAAAATAATACATAAACAAATAATACGGAAAATTAAAAAAATTAAAACTACAGGAACCCAAAATCAAATCATACACCCACTGTACATTGTAATAAATGATCTACTCTAATTGGTTTCTTTCAAATTCGACATTTTGGCGGTTCAATTAATACAAATACAATTCAAATATGAAACAACTAAATGTATAAGAAACATAGACAAACAATAAAAAAAAACAAAACGATAAATTGACAAAAAAAATTTACCACCAACTTACCTCCAACTTACCTCCAACAAAAAACATGTTGAAGATAAGTCGAACCAAGGCTCGAAACGTTGACTATATTAGTTATAGGAATACTATTTTAGAAAATTTATTATTAATATTATTTATTATTTCAGTTTGTCCTTTATCATCTTGAATTTGGCATTACGGTCAAGGGCGCAGATTTTATCTAAGGATACAGAACCAAAATCGCAACAAAAATTCAAATCACGCACTTTGACTTCCAGACACATCCAGAAACAACATCGTTATGGCGATCACGAATATTGTAGTGATTTTAACGTTTGTGACGTTTTTCAGTATTATTCAAGCCGAAGAATTGCGTAAGTAGATACTTGAATCAAATCGATATAATAAATCAAAATGGTAAAAGAAATTTGATTGAAAACCGTACCTGAAAATAAAACTACCTACTAACTTACTATTAAAAATCTACCTAAAAATAGTCATTTATGGTCCTACTTCTTTCGCTTTTTATTCACAAGAAGTAGTACCTCCATCGAGTACTTTCTTTATTTATTTGACAAATTGTTAATTTTTATTTTTTTTTAAATTACATCTATTTAAAATGCAATTAAACCAGTTTTCTTCACAAGTATCATGGCTGATCTTGACCACTTGAACTTCATGAAATATTAATTTTTTTCATCAGATTTTTACCTTTGTCTTAATTATTATTAGAAAAAACCACGTTTGTTAGAAGCAACAATTATTATTCATTTTCAAGTTTAAATATCCATGCATAGAAAATATTTATTTATGAATATTTTAATAATAATTATAACTATAATTAGAAGATTTACAAAACGCAGTATATATTTCTGCCAGTATTTTTCCCAATGGCAATTTTCTTGTAATTGATTTATGCGTTTGCGATAAAATATAAATTAGAGTAATTTGCATTTGAATAATGCATTTAATTTGTATATAAAACTTATAGTATCAGTTGCATCATACAATCTGAGCACGTTGGTAATTTATATGCAAGTACTAATGTAGTAATGGACTCCTTACAAATGCAGTAGTTGATTTTTTTAACGATAGGTGTGATAAATTCTTCAATATAAATTTAACTTAAATTTATGATTTTATTACAAAAGCTTAATCTCATTAAATCTAAATCTCAGCTCCTAAACTTATATAATTATGTATTACATCAGAAATAAACTAAGTGAAATTGTTTTTTTTTATTATCATGATAATAAGGAACTTCTACTAATGTAGATATAAAAATGTAAAAAAAATCAATATAAAAGTAACGATATTCAATTTAAATTTAATAATAAATTAATCTAACATATGATATTTATTCTCGTATAATATTTTTTTTTAACTTTTGTTAAATTAACGCTAAATTCAAATGTACATATTTTTAAGTTTATTCTCATACCACAAACTATATTTTATCAGTTGTACTTTATATAATTCAAACATAATTAAATTAATTTAATAAGGTAAGAACTGGTAGTGAGTAATAAAAAGAAAGTCTTGAAATGGTTGTAAATATGCTGCAAATTTATAATTTTAAAATGGAACTTTTTTTCCAAATATAATACTTTTCTATACTTATATATAAATATATATATATATATATATATTATATATATACATATGATAAGTTTTGCAGCCAAATCGAAAAATAAAAACCAGAACGTAAATATAAATCTTTTTAATACGTTTCGAGCTATTCTGCTAGCTCATCATTCAGCAAACCAAGTTATTAAAGGTGCAAGTTATTAAACATCAAAAAATTTTATTATGTAAAATTTGAAAACATGAATATTTTGTCTATATATATATATAATATATATATATATATATATATATATATATATATATATTTGTATATATATTAGGGTAGACCTTAATGAAGACATTTTTGAATTTCCTTGCTCCCAAAGGCTTAAATGGTTCCAAATTGATTAAAAACAATTCTCTGAGTTTTAGCTCTTAATATTAACTCTTAGATAGTGCGAAATTCAATCGAACTTCGTATAGCATGGAAAAAAATCGGAAATTAAAAAAAAAATTTAGGTATAACTTAGCGACAAATGAATTAGAAGTGAAAATTTGTGTCATTTTTATTGAAAATTCGACGCTCTGCAAAATTTTTGAAATTTTTTTCATGCTATTTCCATACAAATTTTTGATTGAATCGCGCTCTATCTAAAAGACAATATTAAGAGCTAAAACTTTCAGAGAATTGTTTCTTATCAATTTGGAACCATTTGAGCTCTCGAGAGCAAGGAAATTCGAAAATGTCCATTATTAAAATGTCTAAATGATTTATTTATTTATTTTTCTAGCCCCGTATCTCAAGGTCTGTACAAGAAAAGAGGGCGATATAGCTCAATGTGTTAAACGCGCCATCGAGGGTCTCCGACCAATATTCCTCGAAGGAGACAAAGCTCGAAATATACCATCATTGGAACCCCTCGAGGTGGGAGATTTGCTGGTGGGCGACTACGGTCGTAGCAACGGAGGTCTACGGATTTCTGCTACGGAAATCATGGCTAAGGGCGCCTCCAATTTCCGTATTGATAAAATAAGGTAAAGGACTGTATAAAATATTATGCTTAATTCCAGTATTCAATTAAAATTTAAGTTTTTAAAAAAATATTTGAATTTGTTCGTCAGGAGTGTTCTTTATTACTCAAAAAATTGATATTTGCTTGTCTAGAGTTTTTTTTTTCTAAAAGATTGTGTGCATTCAATCGTCAGTGGAGCTATTTAACTCATAAAACTTAAAAAAAAAATTAAAATAATGACATTCTACTATTTTACATTACCATCTATATTAAAGAGAAATGGATGCTACGAGTACTATGTATAAGGCAAAAATTTTAAATTATTTTTTCTAGTTTTCAATTATATAATAACAAATGTAATTGAGCTATTTATTCATTCAATAATATATGTAATTATTTATTTATTCAGTATTTTGTTAAATAACTAACTTTAAAATAAAGTACTTTAGTTCACAAAAGAAATCAAAGTATATATGGGTATGAATAGTCTACAAAAAAACTATGAATTTGTAATTTAGCCTCTTTTGAGTTACGGAATTATGATTATTTCTATTGATAGTATAAAGTATGGCAATGAAATCAACTAATAATTTGGTTCTATCTATCTATAGGTGTTAGCATAATGTAATTTTTTTATTTATTTTTAGCGGAGATCTTGATAAACTAGAATTTTACTTTGAAGTATTACTACCTCGTCTTGAGACTACAGGAAAATATGCTGTAGATGGAAATGTATTATTATTACCTATTAAGGGTAGTGGACCATTTACTGGAAATTTCAGTAAGTACTAATCGATAATTTGTACAGTTTCGTAAAAAAAAAACCTAACAAATATATTAAAATATTAAATTAGTTACCAGTGTATAGGTAAAATTAATTACTAAAATATAAGATAAGATAGCAGTGCCAATATTTAATTTTTTTAGGACTGAAGTTCATTTAAAAAGTCTGAACAAACAGTTTGGTGCTAATATTGAATTGATTTCTTATTATTTATTTTTGGTTGAAAAATAGGTCATAAAAATATTCACATACAAATATATTTTCGTAATTAATTTCGGTTATATGTTGTTATTTCTAGACTGTTTCAGTTTTAATTGCCAAAATCAATTTTTATAATATAAAATATTTATTTCTAGCTGATAGTGTAGGAAAAGCTGTAATGCAAGGAGAAATTGTCGAAAAAGATGGCCAAAAACATATTAAATTCACCGATTTAAATATCAAGATCAAAGTTGGAAAAGGTCGCTTGCATTTGAAGAATTTATTCGGTGGTGATAAAGCTTTAGGTAATAACAAATATTTAAAACTATAAGAAAAGATTCCATAACAAATCAATTATTATTTATATTACAGGTGATATAATTAATCATACGATTAACACAAACTTTGAAGTACTGAGTAAAGACATAATTCCATTAATCGAAAAAGCTCTGTCTAAATTGATCCTGAAAATCTCGAACCAAATTGTGGAACCATACACAACCGAACAATTATACCCAGATGAATAATGATCGGAACAAATGTAACAGTATTTTTAAGAAAACAGAAAATTATTATTTATGAAATAAGTTTATTGGTTTAATTTTATAAAAAATAAAAATATTTAAAAAAGGAGAAAAATTGGAGATTTTGTTTTATTATTAAAAAAACCTTATCCAAACCAGGAAGAAGAATTTAAGAGCAGAATCGAGAATTTATGAAATTACAATGAAAAATAATTTAATTGTTCGAAAATGCATAAACGATGCATTTTCACAAATAAATATAGAATGAATACATTCAAAATTATAAATATTTTATTATATTTGAAGAATCACAGAAATTCCAAAATATGTGTGAATAACTCACAGTGAAATTTTTAAAATTTTATTTTTATGCAATTGTTTTTATGTAGGAGACAAAAATATAATATTTATTTATATTTTTCTCGTACGATTTGAGAAATATATAGAAATGCAATCATAAAAACAAGGATCATGTTATTAATAAAAATGGAGTAAAAAATATTTTTTTGTAATTGATATTGAGTCAATTAAGTAATTTTTCTAATATTTAACTCCAAATGATCTATGATCTATGTAGAGTAATAGAACTTGTTCAGTTTTTGAACAAAAAATGGACCTTTATAAAACAACTGATTAATGTTTATAAAAAAAATTAATAGGCAGTTTGTGGTGGTTAATATAATACACTATGAGCAATAAGCTAAGAAATTATTATTAAAATGCAAATTTAAAGTTTTGCAAATATTTAAAATGACTATGGAAACGAAAATGTATTATTATTACCGACTATTTACTAAAAACTTCAATAATTTTAGTGCAAAATTCTTATAGTTTTGAAAACTAATTTTTAAAATTAATCAACTTACGTTGAAAAATTTGCATCATATTTGGTATTTGCCAAAATATTAGTGTGATACAAAACGAAAACAAGACAAGATTCGGTCAATTTAGTCGTGTCTGACTGAGCAAAAACTTAATTTTCAATTCAAATATCCTAAGATAAATATGATCTGCAGATTCCTTATCAGAAATCGAGTCGATTGAAAAATAATAGCGACTAGCCAACTAGTACACCTATGGTAGGAACGCAGGTGGAAGGACACATTTCTGGTTTACACATTCTCTTATAAATAATCGACTGAAATGTTTATCCGTAAGTCGAGTAGTTGTGATGTATCGGTAATAAACAATACTAAGGAATTGAAATAAAATAGAAGTTTTAGTAAAATTATGTGAATTATTGAAATTATTTATATTACATAGTTGGACCAGGTTGATGCGCCTGAAGGTGAGGTAAAGAAGGATCTACTCTGATAGGTATATATCAGATAGGAATATATTTTATTTACTTTAATTTAATATATTTTAACAATTGGAATTGTAATTGTGAATGTTATATCTAGTAATTGTTTGGATTATTATAAAAATGAAGATATCAGATGGCCAATTGATGGTCCTAATATTATAGTTGTTAGGCCGGCATAGAAGAAAATTGTATGCACCTGTATTTAATGGTTGATTAGATGAATCTTAATGTAAATTAGTATAATAAATCGGTGTATTTTAATTAGTGTTGAAATTTTTATTCATATAGTTGAAGTTAAGAGCTTTCTAGTGCAAGTCCTAGAAAACCACATGGTGGCAACCTCATGGTTGCAAGTCAAAATCTCAAGCTATATACACTATTTCCATTGAATATCAATTTTAGCATGGAAATTGGACATTGAAATATGCTTTTTCTTTTATATATGCATATGCATGTTCAAGTCATTTAAAGGTTACAATTTTATATCAATAGTACTTTTGGCTTAAATTTTTATTTCAGATATAGTAAATTCCCAAAAAAGTAAGTTTTCTCCAGAAAATTCAAATTGCCAATTTCATAGTTAATGCCATGTTTCAGGTCATTCTGAATCTTTTGACAAAATTAAAAAAAGTAGAAGTATGTGTGCTAAAATTTGACTTTTTGTCGAATTTTTATCAAAAACGGCTGCACCGATATTACCCATTTAAAAGCCTTTTGTTAAAACTCGATAAGTAGACTTATAAATTTATTTGCAAGACGATCAGCTCAGCCGTTTCTTTAAATTATAGAAAAGTGCAAAATTTTGTTCACGTTTCTGCACAAAAAAAAACGAAACCAATTTAAAAACCGTTCGAGGGCTCTATTAAAATTAGTTTTGTTTTCATTCTGAGACATCTATTTAAATTAGCTGTCAAAAGATCAGAATGACTTAAAATATAGAGAAACTATAAAATAAGCAATTTGGATTTTGTAAAGAAAACATACCTTTTCGGGAAGTTATTAAATTTGAATATTATTATAGAGATCAGTAGGTAATAGTGCAGATCAGTTTTTGGTAAAATCTTGGGTTCTTTGTAATTATTGTTTTTTGATATTTTACTTTGTATAATGATGACGATTGGTGATTGATTGGTGTTAGCAAATATTTTAAAATTATATTAGCCTACATAAAATGTTTTAATTATAAAATTCACATCATTTGGAAACGATGGGCTAAATTTCAGAAGTGCTACATCTCAATTTTTACTGATCAAGTGAAATTTACTGATTATTTGGGAGTCTTTGCAACTATTCTTTAAAATAGCACTTAAACCTAGAAAGGTTTTATATCATGAACTAATTTATAATATTGCATTAATCCCAGGAAACAAAATAATTTAAATTGCATAAAATATTATTATTACTGTGCATTACCTAATAGTATCATTTAATTATATTAATTTTATACGCAGTTTTCATTTAAGTGCATTTGATCAGTGCACTTTATAAACATAAATATTTACGGAACGAAATGTAGAGTAAAAAATTGTTCTGCATAATTGTACTAGCCACGCTATGATAAATGCCAATGTACGTACATTCGAATTCCGATGTTCAACTTAGGCCACAATAAATATAGTTTGCTGTATTTATATTGACATAATATGAAGAAAATTATGAAATATATACTCTAAACAAATTATATGCAAGAGCTGGAAAATTTTAATCTTTATCCACACGCATGGGGATAGAATTATAAAAAAGTATAAATGCAGGAAAATAGAAAATTTATTTCATATAGGAACAATTATTATTATGATAAAGTTTTGATATTTATTTCAATAAACATTTTATTTTATAACTGTTAACCTCTAATGTCATTCCGGTAAGGTTCTTGGTAAATCAGGAAATAATTGTTTTGTTTTGATAAAACATTTTGTAATTACTAATTATTAAGTAACCAAGCTGCAAAACGAATAATTGAATTAAATTTAATCCTTGAATCATTTTAATAATTGCAAAAGTGAAATGCTTTATTATAAATTAAAATTTCAATACTGATATTTATAATTTGATACAATGAACAGTCTTATGTTAGTTTTATAGTATAGTATTTTGATATAAATTAAATAAATATCCTTTTATATAAATGAAATGTTTATATTAGATCATTTTACTTCAAATGTCTCGGTATGCTTTATATTTAATGTGTTGTATATTTATATTTTCTATTGTATATTTTTTATATTTTCTTACTCCTCTTAGATAAAATTTGGTTCAGTTTTAATTTTAATATTGATTTTAAAATAATTAGTTATTTCAATTTTTAAAAATTGTGTCTTTATTGATACAAATTACTTTTGATGCGTATATATTGATGTGAATGATTATTTAACAGTTTAATTAATAACAAAAACGCTACGAATTTTTGTTCAAAACATGTCATGTTTTGTACTCCTTATTGAAGTGTTAGTGTTAGATTAACTTTGCTTATCGGTCCACTAGAGTCTCTTATCTCAGAATTTTATAAAGATTTTAGCACATGAAGAAAGTAACAATAGAACCTCAAATAATGATAAAGTTGTTTATTTATATGTTTTACAAGCATTGCGGCCAAGGGCGAAACCCATTCATCAGAAGAAAAATTAATTCAAATCACGCGCCATTTATCACCGATATGGGCATCACGAACATTATTGTGATCTTGGTGTTATCGATGACGATAATCTGGGATTTAGTTTGTGGAGAAGAATTAGGTGAGTTGTAATTATTTTTATTTTTTTAATTTGAATTTGTAAATCCGTATTGATATAAACTTAACTCTCACCATACGATGTTCATGTATATACCTCTAATACATCAGAAAGAATAAGTGTTCTTATTTTCAAAATTCTTATATGGATTCAATTTAATGCACCAAATGACATATTGCATTAAAGTGCAACAAATACTGATAACATATTCCACATGCATAATATATTGTTTGATTGAACTATCAATAAAATAATACCGGTAATAATAAATTATTGCAAATGTTGAATAATTTATTAAGAAGAACTAGATATACTGCAAGGAAGATCACCAAGATGACCTTGAACCGAATATGTTAATAATATATATAATAATATAATGTTTCTTATTATGCAGCAATTCTAATGAGGAAATTTAATGTTAATGATACCAGTTTCATTGAATCATAAATGCTAGAAAAATCTAGAAGAATTGTTCGATATTATAAAAATTATATAACATAGCGCCAATAACATGATACAAATTGTAATAAATATATAGAACAAATAATTTAATGTTTCTATAGATTTTTTACAGGTGTCATAGATTTATCACCAAAACTTACGTACTGCCAAAATTTGGATTTATATGAAGATGTTGACCTGGTTATTTGGTATTACCTAAATAAATATGGATATAAGTTGAATTATATATATATATATATATATATATATATATATATATATATTAACAAAGTCTAATAATCGGGCATAACATCAATAAAAAACATGAATTTCTTTCAAAAATTTATTTTAAATCCATACGTTTCGGCTATAATCCTAGCCTTCATTCAGTGGAAAAATTAGTTGATCTTAGTGTTAAATTGGAAAATTTTAATAATCCATGGTATTAGGATATGGTAATGCACTACACTATGTATTATAAACATTAACTTGAAATTACACAATATTTTCATAAAATACTGATTTGAAAAAATCACAAATGAATAGTGTGTTATTCGTAGACTGGTTGAAGCCGAAACGTATGGATTTAAAATAAAATTTTTGAAAGAAATTCATGTTTTTTATTG